CAGACTGAAAATGCCCTGCTTTCCCACTTACTAAATGCCCTTTCTGCCCCTAAAGTGGGTTTTGATGACAGCTCTGGGCAAGTGGTAGAGGAGGTGTGTATAACCTCAGCTTGGAATTCAGAGCCCTCTGCTCACATAGGCTCTGCCATGGTCTGACTTTGGCTGTCCTCCCAGATCTCCAGGGCTTTCTCCTCTCCCTCCAAATTGTCCCACAACCAGTTCAAAGCAGGAGTTCAAGGGTGGTCTATGCTGAAAACACTACCCTACTCCTTCCAACCAGACCATGGCCCTGAAGTTTTGCTTTCTTGAGTGTGGTAGAATGCGCCCGTGATCCCAGCATTCAGGGTGTAGAGGCAGGGGGATCAGAAGAAGTTCAGCGTCTTCCTCTCTTGCAAAGTGAGTTTGAAGCCAGCCTGGGCTACATGAGATCCCATCTTAAATATATATATATATATTTATATATTTATGTCACTGGAAGCCACTTTTGGAATCTGGGCTCTGTTACTGTAGGAAAGTCGTTTTGCCTTTCAGAGTGTCAGTTCAGTTCTATAGAGTGGAACCAGGAAGAACAAGGGCTCAATTCATTAGCCACAGAAACGGTTTATCCCCTGGAAGAGGAGGAGGCTATCTTAGACTCGGCCCAATTTGTTCCGCAGCACTGTCGTAAGCCCTGAGTACCCAGAGGTAAATTGGAAGTGTCCTCGGCCTGGACTCTCCCGTTGCCAAGGTTTCCTCTACCCAGACTTTCTCTCTGGCTAAGGATGTGTTTTCTTATCATTCAAGCCACCAATCCGGGGCATGATTATGAATCTCAAGTAATGCTTGACTAAAAAAAAGGGGACTTGGCTCAGGCACAGGATGTCACAGTGGGCATTCTTCTCCACAGTGGGCATGAGGTAGGGAGGCAGAGAGTGGGGAGACAAATTCTAGGGAAGGTTCTCCAAGCCTTCAGCCCCTTAAAGCAGAAACCATTCCTCTCTCTTTTTTTAACTTTATTTAACTTTATTTCGTGCACCTTGGTATAATGATGTCAGATTCTCTTGAACTAGAGCTCCAGACAGCTGCGAGCTGCCATGTGGGTGCTGGGAACTGAACCTGGGTCCTCTGGAGAAGTAGTCAGTGCTCTTAACCACGGAGCCATCTCACCAGCCCCAGAAACCACCTCTGATATAGCCTTTCTCTCTCCCCCCCACCTCTGTCTGTCTCTCCATCACTCTCCTTCTCTAAGATTTACTTTATTATTTTGTGTTGTGCATGTGATCGCTAGTGCCTGCAGACCAGAGGTGTGTCCGATCCCCTGGAGCAGGAGGTACAGTTATGAGCGGCCTGGTATGGGTGCTGGCAATCAAATCTCTGTCCTGTTAGAAAGGCATGTGTGCTCTTGCCCAGAGAGTATCTCTTCAGCCTCCCTCTCCTTTCCCCTTTCTTCTTTTCGTACCTAATTTTCCCTCCTCATTCTCATGAAATCTCTTAACACATGTGTGTAGACAATGGAGTACTACATAGCAGAAAAAAATAACGACATCTTGAAATTTGCAGGCAAATGGATGGAGCTAGAAAACATCATATTGAGTGAGGTAACCCAGACCCAGAAAGGCAAGTATCACATGTACTCACTCGTAAGTGGTTTTTAAACATAAAGCAAAGAAAACCAGCCCACAAATCACAATCCCAGAGAACCTAGACAACAATGAGGACCCTAAGAGAGACTTACATAGATCTAATCTACATGGGAAGTAGAAAAAGTCAGGATCTCCTGAATAAATTGGGAGCATGGGGACCCTTGGAGAGGGTTAAGGGGAAGGGAGAGAAAGGGAGGGGAGCAGAGAAAAAATGTAGAGCTCAATAAAATCAATTTTAAAAAAAGACATGTTTGGAAAATGGTCTTTGTTGTTGTTGAAGTGAACACTGACTTTGAAACCAAAGCAATCTGTGTTGTCATCTCCCACGAGCCACCAGCCTGTGAAAGTAAAGGCAGTCTTGGCTCCCTGGTAGTCCCCTCTACCCAGCCCCAACGCTATGATATCCAGACTCTTGAACTCAGCACACTGTAAGCCAGAAAGAGTCCTCAGAGGAAGGCCAAGAAGGCTGGGGCTGTCTTCAGTTTGAATTCCTGTGGTTCAGTCACCTGTAGAATAACAACCAATTCAACCTATAACAAGGCTCAGCAGGTTTTACCTTTAATCTCTTGCATGCTTGCCCTGGGCCTCTGAATGCCTGGAGATGATTCACCAGGCACTGCAGGGGAGCAGGCCACCATCTGTAGATGACATCACCCTGTTTGCAGCTTCTGGAAGATAACCTGGGAACCTTTTGTTGGGGCAGGAAGGCCTAGTCTTTAAGGAACCAATTCTTGCTCCTGAGGTGCTCCTGAGGCCTGGTGTAAAGGCTCAGAGGAGCCAATCCCTCGAAAATGTCAGACTGTGGAGATCTGGGATACAGAACAGCCAATGAGGAAGCTTGGAAAATAAGCCGCGAGTGTGTGTGTGTGTGTGTGTGTGTGTGTGTGTGTGTGTGACATACACACACACTCACTCACACCGATTAGGCTTGTCATAGCAGCCACACATACTTTTCAGGAAGGAAAAGACAAGGGTTTTTTGAGCTGAAAGTAGTTCAGTTGACCCACACTTCACAGACATGTGCTGGTCACCAGCCTGGGTGCTCCAAATGGACCCTCGGGAGATTTCTAGGGTAATGGCTTAAGCTTTTGTTTTTCTCACGTCATTTTGCTCATCCCAACCAGTGGAAGGAGTCTTAAGTTACTACATTTCTCAGAGGTGGAGACAGGAGGATGGTGAGTTCAAGGCTACCCTGGGCTGAACAACAAGACTCTAAAAAAGAAAAAAAAAAAACCACCCCAAACTCAAACAAAAACCATGCAGGATGAATGTTTGCCTGGTAGTTTAACTGGTGCTAGAATGAGAAAGGCATGTATATTTTCTTACCTCTATCCCTGGCCATCTTGAGGCCTTAGTTTCCTCATCTCCAGAATGGGTACAAATATATACCCACCTTCTCCAAAGCTTTCTCGTGAAGATTAACTGAGATCGTGTATGAAAGCATACAGCCCCGTGTCATCTTTATTTCGGGGTTGTTATTCTAACCCACAATTGGAAAGTGTTGGACGTGGTATGATGGCTCACGTTTGTAATCTCAACATTTGGGAGGCAGAAATAGGAAAGTCAGCTTGATCTATATAGTGAATTCCAGGCCACCCAGAACTGTGTCTCAAAAGGCGAAAGAATCAAAACAAACTGGATGGTTTTGCTGGGGTTACAATTCAGAGACAGGGTGTGACACCATGGGTTTGTCCTCAACAGCACAAATCAAAAACAACTAAAAGAGTTTATAATAGTGAGGGCTTTGACCCGTCAGAGCCACTGGAGAGGAAGGGAGAACTCCAGCCTTTGGGTGATGAGGACCCCCCCACACACACACTGAGGTCTGAGATCCCTGACTTTGAAGCTTAGTGTTTATAGAATGAGGAAGAGAAGGGCTCCATTAATCCCCTAGGCCAGGCCTCGGGACATTTAGATGGGAGGCGCACACCCTGAAAAGCCTTGTCTATCAAAAGGAGCTGAAGCCCAAACAGGGGATTCCCATACAGTACAGGGAATTGACTGGCTATCCCCCCCAAACGAAGGGATTCTGACGAGGGGATACCCAGGCACTGGACTTCATGCTTCCAGTCCAGCTTCCTGTCTCAGGTAGAGTTAAATTCAAACTAGGGAAACACCAGACCTAAGAGACAAGGGCAAAGCCAGAGGTTTCTTGGAAGACTCCATCTTCTTTTTATATTTAATTCAGTATTTTTTAGTTTCTCAGGACATTTATTTATTCTTGCTATAGGGTTTGCTGGTTTTTTTTTTTCATTTCTTTTTTTCTGTGTTTGCTGTTTTGACTTAGCTTGGAACTTTTGGAGTCAAACAATCCTTCTGCCTCAGCTTCTTGTGTAGCTGAGAGACAGGTGCAATTCACTATAACTGACTGGCAAGGTATGTCCTTCCTTCTCCTCCCTTGCCATCCGCTGGAAATTCTCTTAGGCAGATCCATAGCATTCCTAATTTTAGGGACCCTAAGGAAAGCCAGCTACATTTGCAAATTACGGAGGGGAGGGTTGAAACAACGTGGGGAGAATTGAATAGGAGGGAGACAGATGGTGTGAGCGCTGGGGGAAGGGACGAGAGATCCTGGAAAACTTATGTTCCCCGATTTGCAAGAATGTTTTCACTTAACCACTTCTTGCCTGACTCCTGATTCTATGTCACAGAAAACAGGGTGTGTCGAGATTTGGGGGCACCTGTGCAAAGAGCCTGGCCACTCGGCGTGGAGAGAGCCTAGCCTCCTGGGGCAGCGCAGGGGTGGTCGGCGATTGGGACTGTCCCACGAGGGGGCGCGTCTGGGGCTCTAGGACCCGCCCTCGCGGAGCTGGGCGCGGGGAGGAGACCCGGGAACCCCGGAGCCCGGCGCTCCGCCTCCCGTTTCCGGGGCAGCGCAGTTACCTGCACCGCCGGAGCCACACCTGGCGGAGGCAGAAGTCTCGGGGCGCACGGCGGGGCGCCGGTAGCGACTGCGGGAGGCGGCGGCGTGG